GGGGTAATTACTTGTGAAAAACAAAACAACAATCTTCATTAATCTAAATAGTTAATTAATTCTCATGTGATCAAAGATTTTGACTTTAACTTTGACTGTTGCGCAGACCAACAAACAAACTGAATCATTACTAAGCTTTAATTTTAAATATTTTTTTAGTGATTGAAAAGTATCAAAGGTAATTCACGTCGCGTCTAGGTCAAAACTTATTTCTTGCTTTCCATTAGAAGAGCGCATTGAACTGTGGGAGAATCAATGTTTGTCAACATAAATATCGCACGTGTACGTGCGCGAAATTATCCAGTTAAAGCTTGGTAACGTCTAAGATTGTACTCTTTGGTCTGCGCAACATCCAAAATCGCTATTTTGCTCATATGTGACTGATATATCACGCATGCGTGGTGCGACCGTGTGACGACCATCGCCTTTTAATATAGACAAACGAACACTAATGAATTACAGCGCGTAACATAGGATTCGAACTGTTATCAGACGCACTGCCCAATCAGCTCACTCGTTAAAATAGACAATTATATATATATATATGTTTGGTTGTGTAATCTATAATTTTTTACAATATTTAAAAAACATATAAAACGGTATTTTTATTTACGCACGACACCAAAAAAAAGTTGACGTCACGGAAGTGCTTCGTCACTAGATGGTGCGACTATATGGACAGGGCGATGTAGTGTGCATATAATTATGGTGTTATCAGAGATACAAATCAACCCCCTAAGCATGGTAATAAAAACACCAAAGAATCCAGGCTACAGCTATGATAAGTATTACCTACCACAAAGACCTGAAAAAGTAGAATTGTAATAATTCCAAAGTGCAGTAAGTAATTACCTACTTACAATTGCCCTAATTTTAAAACTGCCTACTCTATTGGTTTATTTACATGCGTGACACACACTTGTGATATTCGAACATGATAACAGTCAGTACATAACCGTCATGCAACGCGCCTTATAATTTCAAATAAACAAATAATGATTTTACATGCTTTTGATCCAATATCGAACACGGTGCTACGAATTGCCTAACATAAAGTAGTTCTGAAAGTACTGTTCATATATTGTATTATATTCCGTTATTGATGTGAGGCTAGAATGAGATTTGTGTCTTGTCCTGAGAGGTTCAAATGAAAGGCACATTTCTTTCTTGTTTATTATTTTATCTTGTTATTGGTTTCATTTTCGTCGTGTGTGGTTCCTTTTGAGCTCAGGCGTGCGCTGACCAGAAACTTATCTTTTTGGCGAGAGCCTAAGTTCAATGTTCTAGGAACCAGTGACCAGCCCGATGTGGTGGAGATAACTTTATTTCGTATCATCTTAAGTTTATAGTTCGCGTATGCCACCATCGTTACATGTTTTGTTCGGTTGATGCGAGTCGTAGTGTATATTCGTTTTCGTTGGTCCATTCAAGTGTTTTTCAAGTGTTGTATTTAGTCTCACAAAGTGGGTGAGGCAATTCTTTCTAGCGGACGTGAATTAAACATAGACAACAAATTAGAGTCACCAGTCTACAATATTTTCTAAAAAACAATTGCAAGCCTACACATTTCATTATCTCTACTTTTATCACAGGGCTTTGTCGACCAGTAAATTTCAACCAACCGATGCGCGCCGAGCATTTCCGAACTTCGACGAACCTGAGTATAAGGCGACATATACAACTACAATTATTCACGATGCTGACCACCATGCCATGTCAAATATGGATCCTGAGGTACGTGCTTGTAATTATTCAAGTCTGTCGACAGTATTTTCAATTTCTCTTACACGGCGCCATCTTTAGTCGATTGGGTGAATATTAAAGCTCGGTGGTCGTCGCGCGCGCGTGTTCGAATTTCATGTAAATAAATAATGTATTTTACACGCGTTGTATACGTCGCTATGAGTATGATTCCACAGCTAGGTCATGATTTCGCATTTGCATCATTTGTGCGTGTGTTCAGAAATGTCTTCCCTTCGCTATGAAAGGAAGTATGAAAAGTAATATTACCCTGGTGACAGTGATTAATGGGACAGGCAGATTATTATGTTAGGCTTTGCGGGAAAGGGTAGCAAATAGGTTAGTCTCAGCATCCGAGTCGAGTTCTTTTCATTATCTTTTGTGGAATAAAACATTGTCTGACACTTTCCCGGACTGCATTACATTGGCTTCGAACACAGGTTGTCATAGAATATCCTACATGTACATTGAGGGGTTTTATCTGGGTATTTTTCTTTGTGACGCTCACCAGATTAACGAGATATCGCTTTTGACACCCTGGTATATATTGCAATATATACATATTACTATATACATCAGAGGCTTGAAGATTTAAGATCTGAATGAATGAATGAATGAATGAATGAATGAATTGAAATTGAGTTTATTCAGAGGAATGAGAGTACACTGAAGACATATGCCCTCTGTAGTTATTTACTTGTTATATGAGGTACTTTTCACCGGTGAGGGCGGCACATCCCGGACTTTACGTCTTAATCAAAGTCTGTTTTCTACTTCCAAATTGCTATATTTCAGGAGACTGTCCAGCGTAGTGATGGTTATTTGCAAACTACATTTCCGATAACACCACGGATGAGTTCATACTTGACAGCATATATTGTCAGTGATTTTATCAATACAAACACGACCATAACAAACACACGTCTCAATAAAACCATACCGGTAAGTAACAAACAGACAGCGTTGCTCATGAGCCAACTGTCTATCCTCGGGCGCGGACATCCGGGCATTTTCACCGCCTGGCAACCCGCGGCGGTGAAAACAAAGGCCCAAAACTCGCAGAAAATGGTACTTTGGGATGACTGTTGAGACTCCTCTGAACAGTGTAACAAGATTAGCCCTACGTGTGTAACATATATAAATTTGGTTGTTCGGGATTACTTCAAAGTTGAGTTTGTGTTGTTTTCTCGAATTTTCACCGGCTCGACCGGCGTTCCACAGCAGCGCGCACAGAGCCCATAGAAATGCATGTACAGTGGTGCGCGTCTTAGCAACGTGGAACGTCTATGACGTAGCTCCGCCCCCGAGGATTGCTGTTTTTATTCTTTATGTTCTGGGTACGGCTTTTTGCGGCCCGGGGTCGTGCGACAGAAGCGCCCGAGCTTGCGAGGACATGTAGGCCATACGACCGAGGGCAACAAAAGCTGTATCCAATCCATAAAGGTTTTATCATATACCTTATAGGTGTAATTGTAATTTTACCACGGCGTGACCTCAAACACATGACGTAATTTAGAATGATGCGTTTTTTTTCTTTGAATGATGAAAGTTGGGCCAGGCGCAATACGGGACTTTATTTCCCGGATGTGAGGGCGCACTCCCCATAGAAATACGAGGTATATGATAATGCTGAAAATGCCACAGTTTTGATATGATGCATCCCTATTACCAGGGGCGTCGATTCATTCTGAAAAGCGAGGGGGACACTTTTGTGTCCGCGTAAGCGGCCAATGTCCGCGCGTGTCTGAGAAGGGGGGACTGCCCTATGTTCCGACATCTCTATGTTCCGACACCCCTATGTTCCGACACACAGTATACTTGTGTCAAACTTAATCTGACTAGCTGTGCGTGACCTTTTACTACCTTGATATTAGCAGGATGTCCTGTGGGTTAATACTGGAAATCCAACTGTAATGTAGTCCGGCCATGATGCTCGAATGTCCGTGAAGGCGGGATCTTGCATAATGTTATCGAATAATTATCAGAGAATTATCAAACAATGTTGCCCATTGTATCATTCTAATAGTTCGACAATTATTTGACAATATCCGTGTC